CTTCAATTCTTTTCTGTATCTCTGTGTGCTATGGGATGAGCTGATGGAGAAATGGCAAAGAGCTATAAAGATGAGTGGCTTGGCAAAAGATGAAGAGACAAAATTGTCACAGTATAGGAATGGACAAAATTATCTCTTCCAAAGTTGAAATAGAAAATAGAAACTTCATTATTTCACTCGGCACACAAACGAATTCACTCAGCATTCCAACAAGATGTTGCAAAGGCCGCAAGCAAGAAGGGGGATGCTGTGGAGGATAGAATAAATTAATGGAGCAGGATTCACTGGTGACAATGACCACATGTGGCTGGAAGAAGTCTCTAAAATGCTGATTACCAGAGGCCAGGTGAAGGCACACCGGAAGGAGCGGTTCTGCTTAGTCTTGCTTGCATGAGCAGGGTCGCAGCTTCTAGGAGTGGGGCTGGGGCCTCTCACACCAGCTGGGGCAGAGGCCCGGGCAGCAGCGGCAGGGCAGTGGGAGGAAACGGCAGCCACAGCAGTCTCGGGTCGGCGATTTCATGGTGCTGTGGAAATGCACCTCTTTATAGGCACCTGCCACTCTGGCCCACGTCCAAGAGAGGATCTGGTGTTAGGCAAACCTATGGTTGGACACACAGTTGCAATTCCTAAAATCTAGTTTTCTTTTAACATAGATCTTCACTGAAAAATCTTTGCAATAAATTTGCTAGCTTTCACACTTGCTAAACAGCTACTTTTACTTCTGAAACGATTATATCAGGATACGGTATATTAAAAAAAAAAAAGAAAAAAAGAGTACACTTGGCGATGCATTCTCGTGTGGCTCAGTTCTGGGTACTTCCTCTAGTGAAAGACTTGCCTTGCTCCATTTTGCAGGCAGCAAGGAACGTGTGAGTATTGCCCATTTATGTATATACGTAATGTTGTGTGAATATATATGTATTTTAGCCTGACTCCCACTTAGCTATCTGGAGGCAACAACTCGTGTCACCAAAGAGTCCCCAGAGCAACGATCTGTTTGGCAGCACTGGACTTAATTATAATTGAGAACAAAACCAGCGTGTGCAGGAAACCATAAAACCCCTCGAGTTAACTGTAGCCAACG